GGGCACAAGATCGCTGCCACGGTAGGATTCAAACCCACGACCTCTTGGTCCTGAGCCGAAGACGCTACCATTTACGCCACACGACCTCACTGTCTGCAGCGAGCGTGCCTGCCTCACCTGAGTACGGGCTCTGCTGCACCTGTCCGCGCGGCTGGAGGTCCACGCGTCTCCAGTTCACCCCGTCTCCTGTCGCCTCCAGACGGTACAGCTGCAGCATCTCCGCAGGCGACAGGACCCTGTTGTACACGTGAAACTCCGCTAGATCGCCGACGTACTCCCGGTTACGCTCAAACCTCGGCCGGTCTCCTACCTGGCTCACGTCTTGTCCGAAGTACCACGTGCCGCCAGGACGGATCCTGTGTCCTCGCGCCAGACCGGATCCGGAAGCTCTCTCCTCCCCGTCCACCATCACCCTCCACTGTCCGTCTGAGTTCCTCCACGTGATGGCCACAACGTGCCACTGGCCGTCCAGAACTTCCGGAATGTCGACATTGGCCCTCTGGTTATCAACCATGAAAGTGTAGCCTCGGTTTCCGGACTGCCCAACAAAGCCGATCTCGTGCGGCTGTTGTTGTGTGCCGTAAGAGAAGATGGTGCCGGTATCTCTGGCCGGTGTTCTCATGTGGAAGGAGATGGTGAAGGACTCCGGACTGAAAGATCCGTCGCTCCTCAGATCGACGTAGTTGTCGGGGGACCGAGGCTCCGGGAATGTCAGAAACTTCATAGCTGGTAAAAAGGAAGGGAAAACAGTTGTTGGAGGAAGAGCACAATGTGCGTCTTACCTTTAAGTTAATGATATCAACGTCGACGTTGTTCAAAGACGTTTTCGATTTTTCGCCATAATGACACATACCTTGAAATTTTGCAACAATTGAGTTTTCACACGTGTGCATAGTTAACAGATACTCCATGCATTCCAACTAAAAGCCCCCATATTATATTGGTGTTGTTATTGATTAATGGAATAACTAGCATTCTTTTCCTCACCTCCGGGTGCAAGACCCCCTCCTCCAGGCCTTGGACCTAATTGGGATATTAGTAAACTAAGTACTTGTTCAAAAGTAGGTTATAAACTGAAATAAATCTACCCAGTTGCTTGAGTGCCTCATCTTTGGAATATCTTTTGAATATTCAGTCAATTTGTTGAACATACAAAAAATGATGTATTTCGAAAATGATATGTCATGGTCTGTCGTTGGTCGTGATTTTTTTAAATCATGAAAAACAATGCACGTGAGGCGGCATTATGACTTAGCTAGCCCCCATTCCATGGCTTATATATGGGTTAGCTGTGGCATTTTCTTACCTCCAGGTCTAAGCGTGCCACCTCCAGGTCTTGAACCTGATAAAGATATGGGAAACGGCACTGATGACTAGGTAGTTGAAACTAGTGTAAAATATGTATTACTGCAAAGTTTTCACAACAGCTATAAAAGAGGTCATGGAATAGTTCTGTAACAGTCTCGTTTTTTTGGTAAACCGGATAGTGAGTGAGTGAATGAATGAATGAATGAGTGATTGATTGAGTGAGTGAGTAAGTGATTGAGTGAGTGATTGAGTGAGTGATTGAGTGAGTGATTGAGTGATTGAGTGAGTGAGTGATTGATTGATTGAGTGAGTGAGTGAGTGAGTGAGTGAGTGAGTGAGTGAGTGAGTGAGTGAGTGAGTGAGTGAGCGAGTGAATGGTAAGTATGCAGAATGTCAGAATGTCCAAGAGGTATATTCAAATTACTGATGGACTGGCCTGTAACTGGTCGTAAAATGTCAAGTCATCAAAAACAGTGCACATGTGGCGGCAATATATCATTAGCTTGTCCCCATATGGGAAATCTACAGCATTTCAAGTCTTACCTCCAGGTACAGGTACAAGCGTGCCACCTCCAGGTCTTGGGACGGCACCTAATAGGGATATGAGTACATGGAACTGGTGACAATGTAGTTTAATCTGTTGCTATAAAATAAGTAGCTGGTTTCATTTTAAACTGCATATCCTAAGCAATGCGGCGATGATATTCATCTACATAGCATTGTTAACTATTTGAATCAGTTGGTCCAAAATTTGGTAAATGGAGTCACATCAAAAAAGGACGTTCTTCCATTGCTGTTGCCTATACTGGTTGAGTCATTTTGTGTTTAGTACAAGCTTTCCACTCGGCGCGACCCTTCTTACACTTGATAGAACAGCCAGAACTTGGCCTGATACAAACTATACCTGGCCGACGTCCGATTTACTTGAGAAGATAGTAAACCCTTTGCAAGTTTTTATGAACATGTATAGACGTGTTGGGCATCCTGACCTACATAAATAACATTTAGAAGACTAGAAACTTTAGGGTAACATTTGCAAAGCAAATACATAATGTTTACCTTCGCATATGGTCTGCTCTGCTAATTCTTACTCGAATACATTCATATATGTTTGGAAAGGAGTCTACATCCCTCCTGCTGTAATATTGTAAAATGTTTAAAATGATTGTAACCCAACACTGGTTACCATGGTGGCATACTCTGGTTCAGGTCATTGACCTTATTTGTTTCGAGAAGAAGAAACAGAGCAAAACATTTTCCTTCAGTAAACATAACGAAACATACCCGTGCCAGGTGTCCCTGAAGCCTCACCAACGATGATGCGAGGGCCTGAAAGGGGATGTGGATGATCAGAATAAGGTCTACGTTAAAGGCTACGTGGTACGAATTGACAGAGTCTGACAGTCTATGAACCAACTCTAAAATACACGACTTTTACACAGTAATATTACACAGCTTTTATCTACATGACATTGTATACGAGTCTTCAGAGGCACTGAAAAGAGATTATAAATCTCATTACAACAGGCGTGGTAGAAGGATTAAATTAACCACATTTGATGGTCACTTTTAATATATCTAGTTGTAAGTTATGCTGTTACTTCTATTACGATTCGTGGGAATAAAGGAACACTTACGTCCACTACCGTCAACGGCCAGGCGCACTGCAAAAGACAAGAAGTTATGATATTGATTAAAGTTTCTCGTTACCATCATGTCAGTCCTTATGTTCAGTTGCTACTTTACCTTATTGTCCAAAGTTTGGTTTTGCAAATCCGGATAATCTAATTATTTCATATGTAGCGAGGTGATAGGTTGGTTATAATTACTTCAATACACAAGTTTCCAACAATGAACTATTTCAACACTGTGTATATATACTTGCAGATAAGAAAAAAATATATGTAAAATCGTACCTGCATACGGCCGGGATTGGACCTGTCCCCTCGGTGTGACGCTACCCTGTCTCCAGTTCTCGCCGTCCCCCTCATATTCCAGGCTGTATATTTGGCGCATTTCATCGTTTGACAGGTCCCTGTTGAGTATATGGAACTCAGCCAAGTCTCCTTCGTACTCCCGGTTACGCTCAAACCTCGGCCGGTCTCCTACCTGGCTCACGTCTTGTCCGAAGTACCACGTGCCGCCCGGACGGATCCTGTGCCCTCGCGCCAGTCCGGATCCGGAAGCTCTCTCCTCCCCGTCTACCATCACCCTCCACTGTCCGTCTGAGTTCCTCCACGTGATGGCCACAACGTGCCACTGGCCGTCCAGAACTTCCGGAATGTCGACATTGGCCCTCTGGTTATCCACCATGAAGGTGTAGCCTCGGTTTCCGGACTGCCCAACAAAGCCGATCTCGTTCGGCTGTTGCTGTGTGCCGTAAGAGAAGATGGTGCCGGTATCTCTGGCCGGTGTTCTCATGTGGAAGGAGATGGTGAAGGACTCCGGACTGTAGGAATTGTCGCCCCTTAGCTCGGCGTAGTTGTTAGGAGATCTCGGTTGTGGGAAGTTTAGGAATTTGTAAAAATCTGTAAAAAAATCATTGCTTTTTTATATCAAATCAGCTTTTCAGAGTCAGTCAAACGTTACGTTCAACGAGACTGTTGTCTGATACAAACTACATGGCCGGCGTCCGCGACGAGGGCCGACATCGTCTACCAGATACGTTTGACCCAGTGTTGACGTCACACTTCAAAGAAGCCACGTGACAAGCTTCACTGGGTCAGTCTACTGAGGAAGACCAGAGTGACTGGTCGAAAGCTCTGAGTGAGAGATTTCTTTGTGTTGGATCAAACGTTTTAACTTAAAACACGGTTTGATAGTCACTTTTAATTTATCTTTGTAAGTAATGCTGTTACTTCTATCACGATTCGTCGGAATAGAGAAAAAACGTACCACGTCCTCCAATGACATCAACTGCCAGGTTCACTGCAAAAGATAAGTAGTTACAAACTACCTGGCCAGCGTCAGATCTACTTGAAGAAGTAGTAAACCCTTTTCAGAACTTTATTCACATGTAAAGACCTGACATTTGGAAGATTAGATCTACAAGCAATGGCAATAAAGTCATACCTGTGCCAGGAATCCCTGAAGCCTCTCCAAGGGTCACGCGAGGGCCTGAAAGGGGATTCGGATGGCCGGAATATGGTTACTTGTCAAGGCTACGTGGTACGGGTTGACTTAGTATGACAGTCTATGAACCAACTCAATAGTAATACTACAAAGGTAACATTTGCAAATGCATAATGTTTACCTTCGCATATGGTCTGTTTTGTTTATTCTTACCCAATTATCAAACACATTCACGTATATGGTAACAGGAGTTGAATCCCTCCTACTATAAAATTGCACATTACGTATCCCCACACCAGTTACCATCTGTATCTGTATCTGTATCTGTATAGCCGGTATAACCGCCTTTCGGCGTAACACACCAACAACACCATGGTGCGAGACAGTCTGGTTCAGGTCATTAACCAGGTCAGAGGTCAGTAGTTGGAACGGAAGAAAAAGAAATAGCGAAAAACAACATATTTTCCTTTGGTAAACATAATTACAGTTTTTTTCCAACATGAGTCTTCATGGGTACTGCATAGATATTAGTTTCATAACCACGGATGTGGTTGAAGGATTAACCACTTTTGATGGTCACTTTTATTCATATGTATCTTTGTAGGTAATGCTGTTGCTTCTATCACGATTTGTGGGAATAGAGGAAAACTTACGTCCACTGCCATCGACAGTCAGACGCACTGTCACTGCAAAAAAAAGGAAAATGAGTTATGATATTGATTAAAGATTCTCGTTACCATATTAGTCATGGTGTTCACTTCAATAGTTTGCTACTTTACTATTCCCCAAAAGTTTGGTTTTGCAGATCTAAATAATCCAATTATTTCATATGTACTGTAGTGACATAAAGCCCCGGTCATAATTACTTCAATCCACCAGTTTCCTTTCTCTAATATTTTCTCCGGATAAACAATTAACAACGTATGTATTTACTTATAGTAAAAAGTTGAACTTTATTCCAACACACAGTTTACAGAGAGATAAAATTTTCAGCGACCACTGTCGCCTTCATCAGGATAATTAATGACTTTTAATCACAGCGTGATCTCGCGAGAGTTACGGTTTACAAACATGTGACCTTACTCACACGAGACTTTATATATTTACTTCCAAATAAGAAAAAAAATTATGTAAATTCGTACCTGGATACGCCCTGCGCTGGACCTGTCCCCTCGGTGTGACGGTCCCCTCCCTCCAGCTGGCGCCGTCCCCTGGATACTGCAGACTGTACAACTGGCGCATTTCATCGTTTGACAGGATCTTGTTGTGTACATGGAACTCAGCAATGTCTCCTTCGTACTCTCGGCCACGCTCAAACCTCGGCCGGTCTCCAACCTGGCTCACGTCTTGTCCGAAGTACCACGTGCCGCCCGGACGGATCCTGTGCCCTCGCGCCAGACCGGATCCGGAAGCTCTCTCCTCCCCGTCCACCATCACCCTCCACTGTCCGTCTGAGTTCCTCCACGTGATGGCCACAACGTGCCATTGGCCGTCCAGAACTTCCGGAATGTCGACATTGGCCCTCTGGTTATCCACCATGAAGGTGTAGCCTCGGTTTCCGGCCTGCCCAGCAAAGCCGATCTCGTGCGGCTGTTGTTGTGTGCCGTAAGAGAAGATGGTGCCGGTATCTCTGGCCGGTGTTCTCATGTGGAAGGAGATGGTGAAGGAGTCAGGACTGAAGGATCCGTCGCTCCTCAGCTCGGCGTAGTTGTTTGGAGATTTGGGTTGGGCGAAGTTCAGGAAGTATAGATCTGTAAAAAAATGATTGCTTCCTCATGAAACGTAACTTTCCTAGAAGCTGTTGTCTTAGAAAAAAGGTTATATATTATCACGGTTCTGTACGTTTATCAAACGTTTGCGTCTTAGCTTATTCCTTCGAGAACATGCGATTTTATCTATAATTGTCCTGACTAATATTTTGTAAGAGTATAGAGGACTATTTGGTATACAAACCTGTGTCTGGAGCAAGTGCTGACTCACTCAACGAGACTCTTGGTTCTGGATAAAATATAAATCATGATCAGGCATAAGTCACTAGATTGTTTGCTTCCTTGTAGATTCGTCCTCAATGGAAATGCTATACCTGAGCCGAGTTTACTCATTTTGACTTTTCTTTGAAACAATATGTATTGGCATCAAATCTAGATGTAGAAGCTGGTTAGTGATTACAAATACACGAATGGTGCCTACTTCTGCCCATATATCATTATACATGTATGCTTTTGCCTCGTAATTTGATTTCATCAACCTCTTAAACAAATATGCCTGCAGTGATTCGGGACAGAGCTAGGTGGACCAGAAGGATAGTCCTCAGAGTAGACTTTCCCGTTTCTGCTCGACACATCAACTTGAGATCACTAAGGTGCTAGTTTTAGCCGTCCAATACAAACGCTACAACGACATCGTTAAGTGTTGCTTGATGATCGCTTTATGTCATGAAAACAACATCATTTCTACTCACGTCCTCTGCTATCCACAGTCAGGCGAACGGTAACTGTAAAAAAAATTGCGAAAAGGTTAGAACATGTTGACTGGGTAGCACATACACTTGTAAGGACATACATGGGCCTGTAAGCTACAAACAGCATGGATATGAAACAAAAGAATGAAGCCAAGCGACGTTCTGTTGCCATACCTGAGTACGGCTTCTGTTGGACCTGTCCCCTTGGCGTGACAGTCGCGCGTCTCCAGTTCACTCCGTCCCCGGGGTAGAGCAGGCTGTAAAGTTGGCGCATTTCGTCGTTTGACAGGATCTTGTTGTGCACGTGGAACTCCGCCAGGTCTCCTACGTACTCCCGGTTACGCTCGAAACTTGGACGGGTGCCTACGAACCTGCTCACGTCTTGTCCGAAATACCACGTGCCGCCCGGACGGATCCTGTGCCCTCGCGCCAGACCGGATCCGGAAGCTCTCTCCTCCCCGTCCACCATCACACTCCACTGTCCGTCTGAGTTCCTCCACGTGATGGCCACAACGTGCCACTGGCCGTCCAGAACTTCCGGAATGTCGATAATTTCCCTCTCGTTATTCACCATGAAAGTGTAGCCTCGGTTTCCGGACTGCCCAACAAAGCCGATCTCGTGCGGCTGTTGTTGTGTGCCGTAAGAGAAGATGGTGCCGGTATCTCTGGCCGGTGTTCTCATGTGGAAGGAGACGGTGAAGGAGTCAGGACTGAAGGATCCGTCGCTCCTCAGCTCGGCGTAGTTGTCGGGGGACCGAGGCTCAGGGAAGTTCAGAAAGTTCCTCTCTACAGAAAGAACATAAAAATGCATTGGACTCCGGATGCAAAAAGGAGGACCGGTCGTCCAACCCCAACTCTAAAGAAACTCATATAGAATCTGACACTGGTTTACAAGGACCTGAACTTCTGTCTGCAATGACTGACAAACAGTACTGGAAACAGAACTTCTCCTACTACACTTCGTGAAAAAAGAAGAGGAAGAGGAGGAAGATGAAGAAGGAGAAGATAAATGATGAGGGGGAGGAGGAGGAGGGGGAGAAGGGGAAGGAGAAGAAGGGGAAGTAGGACAAGGAAGACAAGAAGGAGAAGAATGATGAATAGAAGGGGTAGTAGGACAAGGAGGACAAGGAGAAGAAGAAGGGGGAAGGAGACGGAGGACAAGGAGAAGAAAGAGAAGGAGGAGGAGGAGAAGGAGAAGAAGGAGGAGAAGACATACCTCCAGGTGATACTCCCACGGGGACCATCCCACCGGGCACAGCGCCCACAGAGATTGCTCCTTCGGGGGCAATTCTGTCTGGTGCACCTCCACCGAGAGTGAACCGTCCGTCAGGTACTCCACCTCCAAACCCTCCGCCGGGTGCCCCTCCTCCGACAATTATTCCACCGTCTGGTACTTCACCTGAAGGAGGAGAAAAACTATTACGATTGACAATTCTCAGCCATGCAGTCGACTCGTCTTGACAGTGATCCGGTCATGTTTAAAGTTAAAACTTTTGATTCAACACAAAGAAGTTCTCTCACCTAGAGCTTTCGACAAGACACTCTGGTCTTCCTCAGTAGACTGACCCAGTGAGGCTTGTCACGTGGCGTCTTTGAAGTGTGACGTCAACACATAGTCTACCAGATAACTTTGACCCAGTGTTGACGTCACACTTCAAAGAAGCCACGTGACAACACTTGCTGGGTCAGTCTACTAAGAAAGAATAACTCGTCGAAAGCCGAGATAACTTTATTGTGTTGGATCAAAACTTTTAACTTGAAATGATTGACAATTCTTAGCAATCTAGTCGACTCAACTTAAGAGTGTAGTTTGTAGGCACCTAACTTCTGAATGAACTTTGGTCAAGACACCAAAAAAAATGTCCACTGGATCTCGTACAGCACATGTTAGACAGTCTGCCATCATGTCTTGTCAATGAATTGCAATAGAACGTACTCATCTGCTACCTTGCTACCTAAATGTGCTGCCATTCAGTCTATGCAATGAAGAACGTATTACTAAATGGTTGCTTGTCGCGTGGTCGAACAGTTAGCGTGCCTACTACTGGCAGTTTGTTTTATGCAAAGTGTTCTTAAACAGACTAGAAAATCACCCTGGGTTTGCCAGTACGTGGTGCAGTCATGGTCCATGGTGATGTCCGACGATCTGCCCGTCGCTCTGCCCGTCTCGTCATACCGTGTGCCGTCAACAGGGTGTGCGCAGTAACAGTAGCCGGTAGACACGTGGCACTGGGTGGTCTTAAAGGACCCGTCGTCCTCACATTGAGGGATGTAAACACCAGGGATAAGCTCTGTTGTCTCTACTAACGTCTGGCACTTCGTCTTCTCTTGTCCTGTTCATGTTGCATGTGGCAGGGGACGTCATGGGTTAAAAGTATGTTGCCTCCGAGCTCCATGTCCAGCTACTATGATAAACTTCATATCATTTAATAATATATATTTTCCCATCTAAATTCTGTCAGGATGACTTGCTTACTATCAATAATTTGGCGCCTGTTGCAAATGTGATGTGCTTCGATTGTAATTTCTCAGTGCATGATACCGGAATATATGACCATCAGTAGTAAATATGTGCAAAGACAGTTATTAATTGAAAATAATAATTGAATTGGCGTGTAGCAAATATGATCGTGTACTTAAAAGTGCTTCCATTCCTCCTGCATATGATACCGGAGTATATGACATTGATCTTCAGTAGAAAATATGTGCAGCAAAGAAAGTTATTTATCAGTAATTGAATTGGCATGTAGCAAATAGGCACGTCTGCTTAAAAGGGCTTTAAAAACATATTGAACAATGATAGTCACCCCTGGTTTGCCAGTACGTGTCACAGTCGTGTTCCATGCCCCCTTCCCACGACCGTCTGCCCGTCTCCTCGTACCGGGTCCCGTCTGTCGGGTGTGCGCAGTAACAGTAGCCGGAGGACCCGTGGCACTGGGTCGTCTTAAAGGTGCCGTCCTCCTCGCACTGAGGAATGAAGGCGCCGATACGGCCCTCCCGCTGTGTCGTCTCAACTAACGTCTGGCACTTCGTCTTGTCTTGTCCTGTTCAGGTGGTAGGCATTGTTAGTGGTCACTTGTCGACTTACAATGGGCTTTCGCTTGATCCTTTCAATAAGTAATACGTGTGCTTGAAACTTATAGTTCATACCTGCTTCATTGCGATTACAAATTACCCCCAGTTTGCCAGTAGATGTCTGTGGTGAGAGATTTATGCTACACTAGTGCCCATCTAAACAAGTGGACTTAGAAGCCGAGGAAATGCCTACATGCCTACAAGTGCCAATCGACTGCGTACATTTGTCTTTTAAAAATCGTACTGGTAAAAAAGGCAGATCAATCACCCTGAGTTTGCCAGTACGTGGTGCAGTCATGGTCCATGGTGATGTCCGACGATCTGCCCGTCGCTCTGCCCGTCTCGTCATACCGTGTGCCGTCAACAGGGTGCGCGCAGTAACAGTAGCCGGTAGACACGTGGCACTGGGTGGTCTTAAAGGACCCGTCGTCCTCACATTGAGGGATGTAAACACCAGGGATGAGCTCTGTCGTCTCTACTAACGTCTGGCACTTCGTCTTCTCTTGTCCTGTCCCTAGTCCATGATGGGAAGTTATGGTTACAGCTATTTCCAAACACGGAACTGGTGTCTAGAAAATATTTCCTTATTTCGATAAACACATTTATTTACAAAAATATTGCCTTTACGCGTCTCTAAACGGGAAATAAGCCGCAGCTCTAGATTTCTGACCGAGGGACGACTTTGGTGTGATAGTCAGTTGGCTTGAGGAATGAATCCATTCTACATTATAATGAATTACCTTTAGTTTGCCAGTAGGTGTTACAGTCGTGCTCCATGCCCCCCTCCCACGACCGTCTGCCCGTCTCCTCGTACCGGGTCCCGTCTGTCGGGTGTGCGCAGTAACAGTAGCCGGAGGACCCGTGGCACTGGGTCGTCTTAAAGGTGCCGTCCTCCTCGCACTGAGGAATGAAGGCGCCGATACGGCCCTCCCGCTGTGCCGTCTCAAGTAACGTCTGGCACTTCGTCTTGTCTAGTCCTGTTCGGGTGGTAAAGATTGTCATTGATCAAGGTCAGTTGTCGTCTTAACTGCCAGTCTTACCATACCTGGGACTTCAGCCTCTTCTTCGACAAGTCAGTTCACATGGAAGCCAGACTAAACATACTCGCTCCTCGGCGACACAAGGAAAATACCCCCAAAGAAATATTTACTTCGGCCCCTATGAACAAGATCATTACCTGAGGCAAATTTTCCTCAGGGGCATATTAAAATGGCATGAATGGCAAATTCGCATAAACACGTATGCCATTTGCAGAAAAATGAACAGTAATTTGACAGACCCGGTGTGCGATGTTTCGAATCCTTTAGTTCAGATTTGGTGACTCACTACAGATCACGCGGATGGAGGCCTGGTGACCTCCGCCTCGTATTTGCCTAAAGGTTTTGCACTGAATAATCACACTGTGCTAGTTTGCCAGCCTTAGTGCATCTTCAGTCAAAACGAATGAATAATCTGACCAACCTGTTGTAGGTACAGTGGAAGGAGCGCCCAGAATCACACGAGGACCTGTAAAGACACAAATGCACCAAATTAATAAAATCTGTTGGTTGAATCCCTTACAGCAAAATGTCAACATGTTAAAGCATACCAGACGAAACCAGGACACAGCAGATGAAATTCTTCAATTTTAAAAGTTGCAATAAACAAACAACTCACGTCCTCTGCTGTCCACAGTCAAGCGGACTGAAACTAGACCAGGAGAGAAAATAAAGCTCTCGTTAACCATTACAAGACATTACTGACTATATGAAGACAATAATGCTACATTAAGTACGGTATAGCCTCCCTTATAAACACAACGAATGTGTAAGCAGATCCAGGCAAATTCATGACTTTATAATCAAAACGTGCTAACGGTAGACATAGAAGAACAGTTGAAAGGTACAGCTCGGTCGTTACACCGCTTCTTTTGTGATGTTCTCCATGTTAACCCAGTCCATCGGCTTACAACTATAGGCTTACCTGGGTGAGATGTTCTGCTGGCGCTCCCTCTGGGCGTGATTGTGACCTCTCTCCAGTTGACAGCGTTCCCGGGATACCACAGGGAGTACAGGCGGCGCAGGTCGTCATCGGACAACACGCCGTCGTGCACGTGGAACTCTGCAACGTCTCCAACGTACTCGTGGTTCCGCTCAAACCTCGGCTGGACTCCGGCAAAGGTGACGTCTTGTCCCAGGATCCATGTACCACCCGGACGGATCCTGTGCCCTCGCGCCAGACCGGATCCGGAAGCTCTCTCCTGGCCGTCCACCATCACCCGCCACTGTCCGTCTGAGTTCCTCCACGTGATGGCCACGACGTGCCACTGGCCGTCCAGAACTTTTGGGATGGTAACAGGCGCACTTTGTCCATCCACGAAGAAGGTGTAACTTTGTGAACCAGCCTGGCCGACGAAGGCGATCTCGTGCGGCTGTTGTTGTGTGCCGTAAGAGAAGATGGTGCCGGTATCTCTGGCCGGTGTTCTCATGTGGAAGGAGATGGTGAAGGAGTCAGGACTGAAGGGACTGTCGCTCCTCAGCTCGGCGTAGTCGTTAGGCGATCGCGGGCCGGGGAAGTTGACTCTGTACAAAGCTGATGTGAACAACAATTGGTCAGCTTTAGCGTCCTACATTAGCGGTCAAACCACCATAGAAAGCCATCTTCGTAACCGCCATGGCTTCATGGCTATATGCCACACAAACAGTTCCAGATTTTTATTAGTCCGAAGAGGCTTAAAAATAACAAATAGGGCAGAAAAAAGAGATGATCCACAATTTATTTTCTGACAATCTTGAACTATAAAAAGGTCATGGTAAGGATTATTCGTAACATATTGCTTATAAATATTGACTATATTTTTCTTTAGCTGCGCGAAGTACTTCAACAAAACACACCTCCAGGCAGGATAGCTCCACCGGATGGGACCTCTCCCGGAGTTCTGCCTGTGTCTGAAAAAGGCACAACATTACCATTAAAAATGTTACCTCGTCCTGCATTAGTAAAGACTACTCAAGGAAGTTGTATCATGTAAATCCGTGCATTGGATATATCAGTTAACAATAATGACCTTATGTAGAATCATATAAAATGGAATAAAGGCACATAAAATAGTAAAACCTACCTGTAGGTTGACCAAACACAATACGCATCTCTGTAATATAAAAAAAAATAAATAAATAAAATATGTCCATTCAATTTTCATCCAAGAAGAAAAAGTATAACTCACTTTTTAGAGAATAGGTTTGCTTAATGCCTAGAGTAAAATAGTTTTTTTCAAAGTTGAAAATAACAACAAGAGTAAACAAGTTCATAACTTTGTTAGTAAGGTCCTTTTACTTACCGCCTCTACTGTCTACGCTCAGACGCATTGACGCTGAAATCAACATGAAAATTAATTTTCCTGTTAATTCCCGGTATATTGAAATCAAGAAAAGATACAGTTTATTCTTCAGCATTAGGCACTTCATCGTCTAGATTAAAATGCTGATATCTATCTGTCCTTAAAAATGTCGACTTTTGCTCAAAGTCAGTAGCACAATAGACGTGCCAGGAAGTATGTATCTTCCCCCGTCCCGGTTGAGTAACGATCCATGACCTTTGAGTCTTCGCAAACGTCCGGTCACATATATACTTTGTTCATAAAACCTACCAACAGATCTGGTATTCCATGCTTATATAAATATATATGCTGTTTAAAACGTGTGGCTTACCTGCGTATGGCTTCCGTAACACACGTCCTTTCGGCGTGACAGTCGCGCGTCTCCAGTTCACGGCGTCCCCGGGATACTGCAGCGTGTACAGCCGCCGCATCTCCTCGGCTGACAGAACCTTGTTTTTTATTCAGAAAAACAGTAATAAATACAAATGAAGGGACATAGACTGAACTTATATTCTCGTAGCTACTTTTATAATTGAAAATAAAGGTATTTTACAAGACGGTTTAAAAAGTGTGGAGACCTGAAGACTCGAAGCCAAAACTCCCAAAAGTCAAAAGTCAAAACTCCCACCCCTGAAGAAAAGAAAGCAAAACAGGACACATATACTAGTAGCTAAAGGCGTTTTGTTTCTGTTATGTAGTTTTGTGTGGCTAACTACTGCACCTTGTTGTGCACGTGGAACTCCGACAGGTCTCCTGCGTACTCCCGGTACCGCTGGAAGCCCGGCAGGAAGCCGACAGTGTTCTGCTCCTGGCCGAGAATCCACGTGCCGCCCGGACGGATCCTGTGTCCTCGCGCCAGACCGGATCCGGAAGCTCTCTCCTCTCCGTCCACCATCACCCTCCACTGTCCGTCTGAGTTCCTCCACGTGATGGCCACAACGTGCCACTGGCCGTCCAGAACTTCCGGAATGTTGACATCAGCTTTTTCGTTGTCTACAATGAAGGTGTAGCCTTGGGAGTCCCTTTTTCCGATGAAGCCGATCTCGTGCGGCTGTTGCCTGGTGCCGTAAGAGAAGATGGTGCCGGTATCTCTGGCCGGTGTTCTCATGTGGAAGGAGATAGTGAAGGACTCCGGGTCGAAGGGGCTATCGCTCCTCAGCTCGGCGTAGTTGTCAGAGGTCCGAGGCTCCGGGAAATTCATGAGGAACATTCCTGAAAATAAGAGGGTCAAGCAAAATCGTTACTGGCCGTTTTTAATGTAGTAAACAGTTGAATGTCAAATAATACTTTCCAAAATTTGACCTGCAATTTAACATACCTGTGGGGAAGGTTATCCCTCTCATCCCGCTTATCCCTGAAAGAAAAAAGGTAAATAAATTAAGAAATATGTAAGTATTGTACCTAACAATATTCTAATAGGAATAGTCGGTGATTTAATAGGATTGGTGCTTTCTATCGATCACAAGCTATAAGACTTAGTATGAATTGTATCGATGATTGTATCTCAGTTCATGTTCGGTCGATTGAAAAATAGTACATAAAGGCTATGAGGTTTACCTGTTGAATGACCTGTGACTGTACCAGTTGTTATACCTGGTCCTGTTGTTGAATCGTCAAAGGTCACACGAGAACCTGTACGAGTTAGGTAATCATTAATCATGAATGTGCGCGTGCATGAAACAAAGTAGTAAATTGTTCATGGTTTGAAAGAATGGCAGGATTCTACATATCTACTTGTAAGTGTGCATACCTCCCCTGCTGTCAGACGTCACTCGCAGGTTAGCTGTGAGAGAACAAAACAGAAAGTTATGACTAAAAGGTAGACCAAAAACTATTTGGAGAAGAACGGTGTCAGACGACCTGGCGTCTATGGGACTATCCTGGCGACCAGCAAAACATTTGGCCAAGGACAGACCCAGACGGAAGAAAAAGTCACGGCCTTATGTGTATTAAGACTTTTAAGAAACTTACATAACTTTTAAGAGGATAAGTAAGTAAATAAGGCCTTACGCTGGTAAGTCCTCAGCCCCACGGGTCCGCTTGGACTGATGGTGTCGCCCCTCCAGCTCAGCGCGTCGCCGGGGTACTGCAGCGCGTACAGCCGCCGCATGTCCGCCGGCGGCAGCGTGTTGTAGTGCACGTTAAACTCCGCCAGGTCGCCCACGTACGCGCGCGGCTGCTTGAAGTTAGCGCCCATGGTGTTCTGCTCCTGGCCCAGGATCCACGTCCCACCAGACCTACAGAAAACACATATCTTTTTATCGAGCAACACAGAACACAGTGGTGGGCAACTCTAGCAGGTTGATAATCTTAGCCCTACCACTCGTTAATCCAAATGAACTTTTGATAGGGACATACAGATGTTATAGAACAATTGAACATTGAATTCTGTTCTCCGTAATATAATTGCCCAGAACAGCACTACATTGGACACGCGAGGGGAAGAAGAGAAAACAAGGACAGTTGCAAAAGAAGTGAAGAGCTTCAACCACACTTGGGATAGCATCAAGAGAACAGCCCATGACAAATTGAAAGTAAATAAGTACACTGATAATTCAAGAAGCTTAGGACTGTCCAAAATGCCAACTTTCAACGGTCTTGCCATCAGGTAGATTTTGATATGAAACGGACAAACCGACCTGACGGTGTGTCCCCTGGCGAGGTTGGTTCCCGAGTCCACCTCCTGCCCGTCCACCATGACGCGCCACTGCCCGTCCGTGTTCTGCCACAGGATCGCCACCACGTGCCAGTTACCGTCAAGAACCTGATGGCCAGCAAAGATGTAGTAAAGACACAAACCGGACGATAACTATACATTTGATACGTCGGTGAAGGTTAGACATCCAGGTAATAAGATACGTAAAAAAACAGTTACTCAAGCAACTGGATATGATTTTGGAAACGGTCAGATGTTTCAGGTAGCATCCACCTTTCGTCAGTGACACTAGAGAACATGTGCAGAAAGGCAGGTTATTATAAGCAATAACTATTGACTGATATGCAAATATAGCCTGGGTTCCATTCTGGTTAGTTTACGTCCGCTCCCACAGTCGCTGGGAGCGGACGTAAACTAACCAGGATGGGACCCAGGCTAATGCAAATACGTGAAAACATTTTATCGTTTTGGTTACATATTATCTTCTGCAAGCAAAATGAATGGTCCATTATCTCTGGTACATGTACATGACATGTAAAGCCTGTTCTTATCAGCCCAAAATCAGATGTTTGGAAACAAGCTTATTTGCATATAAAAGTAGATACGGACCTGAGGAATGCTGACTGGAGCCCGCTGACCGTTGACGATGAGGGTGTAGTCACGTGATCCCTCTTGACCAACGAACGCCAGCTCGTGGGGCTGCTGCGGGACGGCGTAGGAGAAGATGGTGCCGGTGTCTCGCATCGGAGTTCTCATCAGGAAGGAGACGGTGAAGGCGTAGGGGTTAAAGGTCCTGCTGCCCACCACCTGCGCGTAGTTGCTGACCGAACGGGGTGCCGGGAAGGACAGCATGCGCGTAGCTGCAAACAACATATAAGGGCACAGTGAACCAACATTATAAGGTTACGTTGATGAAGGTTAGACATCCAGATAAAACAATATACAAAGAAAAATCAAACTTATAATCAAACTCTACTACTCGATAAATAAGTCGAAACGTCCTGAAGTTTCCTTTATTCATCCAGTAGTTAAGTTTGAATAGTCTTTGAATAAATCTTAAGGTTGTTGCTGATGAAGAGTAAGATAGGCTTAGGGCTACGTTTGATAAAAAGCTTACTGAAAACGTATATTTGGTAAATTTTTGTCAAATAAAACTGCAAACTGTTCAATCATTCTTTTTACTCCCCATTTCCTTCTTTCTTGTAACATTTCAAGGCATTTTCTAGGCAGCTACATCTCATTGTTTTGTTACCTTCGGAAATCACAGGTCTCACATCAGTAGGAACGCTTGGTCTGCCCCCTGTTGGTAAAAGATTATAACGTTAGAAACCCGCCCTTTTTTCAGCATTGATGCAAAAGTACGGATATGCTATAAGCTACAGTTTAACTGAAATGTGAAAACGGACACAACACGTTCAAAGGAATGAAACAAAAGCCTTTAGACAGACCTGCGCTAGGTCCCACTCCAGTGCTAGGTCCTGAACCAGTCGATGGGCCAAAGACAACTCGCGTTCCTGTTAAAATAACATAATATGAGGAAAATCAGGTAAACCAGTGATACCAGTGGTCTAGCCCTCTAGCTTGCACAATTGTGAAGCCCAGGGGCAATAAAACGAAAAAGGGCGGCAAAAGATATGAAAAGGGTTTTAGCAAACATGTTAACATGGGAAGCCAGTAAAAGAGGTAACAAGAAACAATGTTTCAGTCCTAAGCTGTAAAACCGAATGCAAATCATTATGCAAATTTATTCTAATTATGGATCTACGATTGCGAATGACTTAGCTTGATAAGAAAGTCACTGAGACATGACTAGTGATGATGTAAACTGTAAAACTCACCACCTGGACCTGTAGTCACACTGGTTGACACTGAAAAAAAGGGATAGTCATTTATATTAGCTCGACCTCTTCGACGTAAAGAAAACATACATAAAGATATAGATCAAATCAAACCCAGTGCACTATCCACTCTTACTTGTCTTAAAATCTGGAGAAAATAATTCTGCATGCCGTCAGGGTATAGGCTACAATCATTACAGTAAGTTTGTTAAATGTACGTTGTTCTTAGAAAGAACAGCCAACAAGAATTCTTCTGTGAGTGGTGAGGAGACAGACGGTATGATTACACCTGAACGTCCTACAATGGCACATCGGTGAAGGTTAGACATCCAGGTAATAATATACGCCAAAAACAGTTACTCAAGCAACTGGATATGATTTTGGACCTACAGTGGCGTCAACGGATAAACTTACATCTGTACGGCACTCGGCTGACTCTGCCACTTGTGGTGAGGGTGGACGGCGTCAGGTCCCGCCAGTTGATAACAGATCCTGGCTGCTCCAATGTGTAGAGATTCCTCATGCTCCCCGGGGGGAGGGCAGTGTCAAACACCCTAAACTCCGACAGGTCTCCGGTGAAAAACTCCTGGTCGAAACCATCGCTGTCGCCGAGGGACTGACCAAGGAACCAGACACCCCCGGGTCGAATGGTATGGCCCGTTGCCAGGGACGACCCGGACGCTCTTTGCTGCCCGTCCACGTGCACCGTCCATTGGCCGTACGTGTTCTCCCACGTGATCACCACCACGTGCCATTGGCCGTCCAGAACCTAGAGAGAGAGAGAGAGAGAGACTGGTTTATTTGTGAAATTCAAGTACACACAAAAGCCTGTAAGCAGCCATATTTGGCTGAATTGAGAAGGCTTTAAACACAAAATGTGCTTATAGTACAGCTATTTGATAAAAGTTCGTTACATTTGATAAAAAAAACTTTTCGTTGCATATCAAGTTAACATTAAAAATTACCACACGTTAAAATACAATAATGCACTAGAAAAGTAACATTTGCAAAGCAAATGCATCATGTTTACCTTCGGATATGGTCTACTCTGTTAATTCTTACTCAAACACATTCACATACATGTACATGTATATGGTGACAGGAGCCTAAATGCCTACTATGAAATTGCAACATTGTATGTAACCCAACACCAGTTACTATGGTGACAGACGTCAACAAAAGAGGCCATTGGCCAGGTCAGAGGTTAGTGTTTGGAACAGAAGAAGAAGAAGAGGAAGAAGAAATGGAGCAAAAACAATATGTTTTCCTTCGGTAAACATAAATATAAAAACAGCCAACCTCCGGGATGCTGACGTCAGCCTGTTGATTATTGACCACCAGAGCGTACGTGTTTCTGTTCTTCGGCGCTAGAAAGGCGACCTCCCGCGCCTGCTGGTCGGTGACGTAGGCGAAGACGGTCCCTGGCTCGCCCGACGGGACCCGCATGAAGAAGGAGACGGTGAAGGAACTGGGGTTGAACGGGTAGTCGCTGCTGATGCGCGCGTAGTTCTGGATGGAGCGGGGCTGGGGGAAGGTCAGCATGTAGACTGAACCTACAAGGTAGATACGCCAAAAAAGTTACTCAAGCAACTGGCTACGGTTTTGGAAACGGTCAGACCTTTTAAGTAGCATCCGCTACTTTCATCAGTGACAGTGACAGTGAACCTACAAGGTACAGTTCATAAACTTGCTTAAGAACTTCCAATTTTCAGCAGTTCTGTGCACATCTGTCATCAAGACGCAAGGAGCCCAAAATCTAATCATTTTGATCTATCAAGATCTATCCAAGATCTATCCAAATATCAAGACAATCCATACACACGAACACACGAACGCCTCTGAAACATAACCTTTTTGGCGAAGGTAATAGACTGGTTGCAATTAGAAAATCTATTACACAATCTGTGATATCATAGATACATTACTCGGATCCATGGTTAAGAGTCAATGATAACAGTGGTCCCAGGATTAACCCCTGAGGGACCCCATGAGTCAACCCAAGTCGTTATTTCTGTACGTACCTCCTGCACCTGGAGTCTGGCCGCTGGGAAACGTCGATGTGGTACCTGAGATTGGGTAAAGAAAATATGATAGAAAGAAAGACGATATTGTTAATATCAAACCCATACGATTGAGCAACAGTGCCCCCAATCACAATCATGCAGATGTAGATCTCATTTACGAGATAACAAAAGAAACAATGAAACCTTTGGGAAAAAGTTCAAGTAGGCAAAAGTACTTAATGGTAATACACATACCGCCTGTTCCGCCGGATATCACTCCTTCCCTGCCAAACGTCGGGCGGATTGATGCTGAAGTAGAAATGAAGTAGCTTTCAGTATGTTTGATTGCCAGCTTCTGGCATGATTTAAACCAACACATTTGACAGTACCCACGTCTCGAACCGACTTAAATGTTCAAGTAATCGTTTTGGCCTTACTGCTTCGGTCATTATTTTAGTGCAATGCGACAAAGTTACACCTAAAGACAAACAGTAGGACAATGCGACAAAGATACACCTATGCATAAGACTCCGGTTGTGCTCCATACACAACTACCGTGAGACCATAATGTGAAGTGACTGACTAATCTCCAAGAAGATCATACGGTGGCAAGGCAGTATCCATAGGGCGGAGAGTGTCCATTAGCCACCAAAGGGTGGCCGATGGATACTGTCTGGCCAATGGATACTGCCTGGCCATTCGGTACTGTCTTTTGTGGGCACCGAAAGATCTGCTTAGAGATTAGTGACTGACCTGAGTACGCTGCTGGCCTGACGGAGCCTCGCACGTTCGTCTGACTGGTCCTCATGTCGATGACGTCGCCAGTCTTCTGTAGCGAGTAGAGGGACCGCAGGTCCTGGTCGGACAGCACGGTATCAAACACGTGGAACTCCGCGAGGTCTCCCACGTACGCCTGGCTCGCCTCAAACCTGGGGAATGAATGAATGAGTGAATAAAAATTAATGAAAGAGGTTGCAGTTCAGAGAACAGATCGTCCGTTGGCCCCATGTATGTAGAGACTAAGACATTCAATCCTGCACGTTAACGAAACCAACATATTCATCGAAAGAGTGCTTAAGCTTGGACAAGTTTTGGCACATACTTTCTCTCTACGCAATAAATAACCAACAAAAATTAATGGTTTGTCACAATTTCGTTTGTTACGACAGCACATCCTGACAAATACACAGCTAAATGCATGTTCGGAAACATGGAAAAATACCGTATATGTGTTTGAGATTATATGATACAATATAATACAAATCATCAGAATGACTAACCTGTTTCCGAAAGAGTCCTGGTCCTGCCCGAGGATCCAGGTGCCTCCGGGCCGGATGGTGCGTCCGACCGCGAGCCCCCTGCCGCTGGCCCGGTCCTGTCCGTCCACGGCCACCGTCCACTGCCCGTCACTGCTGCGCCACGTCAGCACCACCATGTGCCACCGGCCGTCGTGCAGCTCAGGGATGTCGAACGTCGCCCGCTGGTTCTGCACGATCAGGGCGTAGTCCCGGGACCTGTAGGGTGGTTAATATCAGCTGGCATAAACTTGCACTTATCATACCATTGATACTAATGATCTATGACAGTTACTTAGTAATACTTGTTGTTTGTGTGTTCAATCTTCCCTGCAATTCACCTATCAGCCTACAGCCTAGTAAGCGCCTTTAGTATTAGTAATAGGTTTGGCCCCTTGGTAATAGGTTTCTTCATTTGTCACTCTACATAATATCGTAATCCATCCTTTTGGTACATTGGTACTCCTGTTTTATTATATCATATTTTATCTTCTTTTTCATTTCTTGATAACATTTCTTCATCCCATACCATTACAAAAGAACTTAATTAGCACTCAGTCAGAGGATAACTAACCAAAAGAAAGAAACCAGAAAAGTATAAAAGACAAAACTACGCACGTGCTGTCTCCGAAGAAGCCGATCTCGTGCGGCTCCTGCCTTGTGGCGTATGAGAAGACGGTTCCGGGCTGGCGGGAGGAGGACTTCATGTGGAAGGAGACGGTGAAGCTGCGCATGTTGGCGGGGACGCTGCCCTGCACCTCCGCGTAGTTCTGCACGGACCGAGGCACGGGGAACGTCAGCATCACGGGCGCTGGGAAACAACAAATAAGAGTTCAAAAATCTCATACCTTCGCCAAATGATATCTTTAAGAACTGACGTATTCTAAATGTTTTCATTGATTATGCAAATATTATCATCATTTGAACATATTCTCCACCCAATGACAGTCTTATCTTGATAAAGGAGCTATTTTAGCCTTTCCTCGTGAATTATACAAATTAGGTCCTGGTTTAAATATGATACATTTACTTATATATGAGACTGATAGTCTATTCTATTACGTTGGATCTGTTTTGCTTGTTAAATCGTTCAGGCCATTTGTTTGGAACGTTTCTTAGTTTGTCTTACCTCCATTGAGAAGACCGGACGGGCCTCCGGACGGGATGCGAACTGGGGTTATACCTATAGACAAGTACGAAGAAAGAAAAGATTGTCATATATGGTAACCTACACTTCCTGAATGACACTTATTTGCAAGGAAGTAGGATTGATTCAACGTACTTTGGCAAGAAATGACAGGCAACACAGGCAGATTATTTACTTTTTGTATCATCCTAATGTTATACGATGCTGCTTTAACACTATACGATGCTGCTTTAACACTAATGTCTGTGTAATAAAATTTCAGGAATACCTCCTCCAAATGTTGGTCTGCTTCCACCGTGCGTTACACTTCCTCCTGTACTCACGGAGAAATTAGAAACATGACAAACTTTGTTAGCCTGGCATCTTTAACATTTGGCATAATCAAGTACAGGAACACATTATAAACAATAACGAGACTCCATGCAAGCGTTAGTGCCATGATTTGTAAAGCCAAGCAAATTTGGAAGAGATATAACATTACATGACAAGCCAAGCAAATTTTGAAGAGTATAACATTACGTGACAAAATAAAGCCTTCCACTTAACGTTTGACATAATGCATCTGTATCTTCATTGCCGGTAATGTCCATTTCAGTGAGTGTAATCAACGCACACTTTCCCAAACCAAAGTTCCAAAACACAAAGAAAACAGCCACTTTCTATTTTTTGGCTAGATTTGTTGCGAATGTTCCATCATGGACATTAACGATTACGCCAACTCATAGCACCGTGCACAAATCATGGCAGAAGCAACGCGTTTTTTTTTCAATTGCAAACCGCCCTGGACGTTTTCGCCCGAAAGCATTCAACACATGCAAATGCACAAAGCAATGTAATCAAGATCATGAACAAGCAAATATCAATGTAGCCCAAGCCTGTGGGAAAAACGGCTGCACATGAGTACAAGTGGACGTGAGGACAAAGCATCAGTTGATGAGGCAGTAGGATCTTGCCAAGCTTTACACACTGTAGGATCCTCTCACCACTAGTGGTTGTAGTCCCGCCGTGTGTGATGGTCTGTCTACCACCGTGGACGCCAGTTAGTACACCTCCTGTGGAAGAGGAACGAAGCTGTCGTCCAATCACTGCGCGAATTTGGTCACGCGACTGTGACTGTGACGTAACTTACCACTCGCCATGTTGGTGCGCTAAACTTGCCCTCTTTTTTTCGCTCACTAATCATGCACTATTTTTCTTTGTTTTATTCATAAAAAGCTCAAATCGTTTGGCAGCTTTTTATTGAAGTATGAAAATGGTCATACCGACTGTAGAATGCCAAGCGGCCGCCATCTTGGATCTATCCACACCACCAACATAGCGTTGGCAATTTATATTAACACGTTATAATGTTACGTGCAATTACGCGACATAGAAAGGACGTTACATCAACAGCGCAACATGTTAACAAAACGACACAAGCCTTTAGATATTACAACAACAAAAAATACAAGTGCACATTGAGCAGTTTAACATTTCTGTGGCAATCAAGACCATACCAATGGTAATCCTTCCTCCCCCTCCAGGAGTGATGCTTCCTCTGATAGGAGTCCCACCTAAAGCAAACAGCCGTTAATCAGAACCAATAGACAAAGGTATGAGTTTAGTACAAGCAGGGTCTTAGCTTTACAGCAGTAACCAGCCATGACTTGAGCCTTGAACAAAGATGATTTTACGTTAATGTTAATTTTTTTTTTGCAATAAAATAGCAATTGTTGTGATGGGAAGTTTATAAGAGGCGCTGTTTTATGTTGTCACTTAGCTTGGGAAAAAAGAAACAAGGTTATTATTTATCGGGAAAAGCGTTATATTGGGGTTCAAAAATGTCTAAGATGCAAAGCAAATGATTTTAATATCAGGGAATTTAACGAATCAGGAAAGATAAAAGGGGTGCAGAAAATAAAAAGGAAAAGGAAAAAGTATCCCGCACCAAAAGAGGGTTATTCCTTCATTCACCAAAGCCAAAATTAAATTAGACAAAATGTTGATTAAAAAAATGAACAACAGAAGTGAGGTTTCCGACGTCCCTTTGATCCTTCCTGATACAACTAAGAAATCAAGATCAAATCAAACACGTGCAAGCGTTATTCTATGTAGAACATCATGACGTCGCCTGGAAAGTCGTATCCAACCACCACATCACGGAAAACGTCAGAAATACAATCCAAAGCATGGGATAGATTCTTTTCGGGTGGGTGCTCAGGCAGAATGATCGGTAGGGTGACATATGACAAGCCAGTCACGGTCAAGATCTGTGTGACGGTCGGCTAGCAATCTAATAAACATGATAAAGTATGCTGATGATTGTTTCTCTTTTTATTCTCAATATGTCAAGCGCGGCGCTCCCACTTTTAGTGCCCGTATTCTAAAGAACGATATGGCGACTTGGCACATGTAATAGAAGACCAGAGTTTGAGTATGAGATGAAGTTGCAGACAATGTCGACAATGTTGAAGCAGTAGGTATACTTGACAGCCATGTAAGGACGTGGTAGATGGTTCCGACTTAGTAGAGAAGGTACTGGCGAAGTGAGGTCGATGTAAATGCCAATGACGATGCGGAAGACAATGAGATGATGGAGGAAATGATGAGATGATGAAGAGGAAGACAGGGTGATGCAGAATAGGTCCAGATATGGATGATTAAACGAACACCACGATGGCGATGATGTCGATGATGACTATCGCTAGGAACCTACTGAAGGGCTGGAAGAACAGGGCACAGTAGGGAGGATCGACGAAAGACTGATTGTAGCTGTAAAATCTCCGGACCACAGCAGAGAACGAAGTGGATAATGACGATGGATACTATAATAATGTAGGTGGACATCGACAATGACATAGTTGCTGGTGGTGATGATGATTATAATGATGATGATAAGAGAGGTGGTGGTAAAAGCTTAAAGGTGACATCGATGTTGCTCAACATAGAACCGCAAAACCTTGACTGCGTTACGCACTATCCTTCACCACTATACCGCTGCACTACTAGTACTACACTGCAGTTTATTCCTAAGCGTTTTGGTTTGTAGGCATGGAAATTGCTGTACCGATCGGGTACCATCCACTCTCAGTTGAGACTGGCCCGTGACTATAGTCGGTAGAACCTGGAATGGGAATATTGTCGTCAATGACCATCTATGACTATGAGATGGTGGTTCTAAGTTCTAACGTTTTACCTGATACGGTTAACTAAGGAATGGACAGAAATTCTGTATCATTTTCTTGAAGGCGCCTGGATTCATTCGTGAAGCTTACATGTATAATTTGAAATTTAAAAGACTTCTTTGCCTAAGGTGTCTAAGGTGGGGCACTCATTTAAATACGCTTCACACCAATGAACTGTATAGTACTACATAAGGACATTACAACGATCCGCTATCAAATCAAAGCAATATGGAATCAGAATACGTTATCTGCAGGTTGTTACTGTGCTATACAGCCCATCAGTCGGATTAAACAACTGTGAATAAAATATTGCCTTCATTTTACAAAGCTTGTCAGCAAGATTCTACCAGATCCTACCAATGGTAATAGATCCAGTGCTGTGCGCTGCTATCGGTTCGTCCGGAAAAACTGAAAGGTATGACAAAGAAAAATAAACATTAGCGCCTAGAAATTCATTTTACCATGCATAGGTGGGAATGTGCACTCCTTACGGCTCGCAGTGGTGACGGTGAGGTGCGGAAGGTACGGTTGTTTGCACTCACGTGACTATGACGTAATCATTGCCGGCCATGATGGGTGGTTAAACCTATTACCAACATTGTAGTAAATGTGAATTTGTATGTGTAATCATGATCAAGTTGATCCGCCAAAAACGACGACTGCCACATAAAGTGCAAAACATGTCATGCACATGCAAATTCCTAAGTCTTGCTCTTCTGCGTTCAATCAACCAGCATGGCGACTACGACGTCACTTGCAAACGACCTATTCGATCTCCCAAAACCGAATGGCATCCGGACTGACATCTGGAAATCTTGTACTAGTAGGTGCTAAACCGTCAAGAATTGTGTAAGCAGTAGAACAACATTGCTGCCGTGCTGCAATGAGCTATTGGAGTGCTCGATGTGAAGTGAAGCACCGTTGCAGAAGAACCTGTTTTGGAATGGAATGAAAAAAGAGTTCAAAGTGTACCGAGCCTTACATCTTAGGGTCCCTCCTAGCCGAGGGTTTTTCTCTAAACTCACCCTGGCACATCTACATCGGGGAACTAGAAGGAAATGGCAACGTTAATGGTACAATTTACTTAAGAGAAAATGGCACTATTATTATACCTTTACGTACGTACCCAAACCTTTCTGCAGCAGAAAGGGTGACAGGAACAGTATCTGGGCTAAAAGCTGAAAGAAAAACTGAGTACTGAGCTGTATTTTGTAGGACACTGTTCAAGTCAAATCTTACCGAAGATCGCGCAAGTATAGATATAATGGCAGTGACAGAGCGCCGCGCACGCCTACACTAATGATATGTATCAACCTGTCGTCCGTTTGTATCAATCCGTCGCCTGTTCGGTTTGATCTGAAAGAGTACAGAGATGTCGATGAGATGGTTTTGGGACGACACACGTACCAGGACAGTGACGGCTGTACACACGACTGGAACCACACCCGTTTCTATGGTAACTACACACCTTCGGTATCAGCCAAGAACTCGTCCAGACTTTGCTTGATGTCCTCTTCCGGGCGGACATAGCCCCAAATCTTCACCTCGTCCAAGGCGGTATATGACGGCGTCATGCCTCCGGGCCGCATCGCTGACGTCCCGTAGAAAAGCCGGTACGGGTTTCCCGTTGCCCTTCTGGTCAGAGGCTTTAATCGGCGCTCTTCGAAGTTGTACCCAGCACGAGTGCCGTTGACCAGAATGGTGAGTTGGGTTCCCTCCTTCCAGTAGAAGGCGACGTGCGTCCAGGTCTGTAGCGGGATGTCCACGCGGCCTCTCTGCGCCGTCCTACTGCCGCTGACCTGCACGGTAAACTGGTCCTCCCGGTCCACCTGGTCCCGGGCCCGCAGGAACGTGAACCCTCGGGCCAGCTCCGTCCTGTCCCCGCCGATGTCCACATAGTAGTGCGGTCTCTTGTCGTTCAGCCACCGCTTCATCCAGAACTCCACCGCGAAGCCGTCCGGACAGAAGACGTACTTCTGCCCGCAGACGTTCAGCGGCTGGTCAGACTCCAAGTACTTTCCCCTCAGCAGGACGGCCTGTCCGCGAACTCCCCTTACCAGTTCGGCAGAAGGTTTCTTAAACTCCGTCAGGTAGTCCATAGTGTGCACCATCACGGGCTCTTCGTCTGTAAGGGAACATGAGGAGAACTACCCATGATCAAGACGTAGTGAGGTTCTATTTCTTCTAGGGTGCCCATGTAGGTTCTATTATTTCTATGTGCCCGTGGAGGTTCTACATGTTCTAGGGTGCCCGTGGAGGTTCTACATGTTCTAGGGTGCCCGTGTAGGTTCTATATAGTCTAGGGGAGAACGTATAGTCTAGTAGTATAGTCTATAGTCTAGGATGTGCGTACGTAGACTATTCCAGATTGTGCCCATATGGTAGGCATTACGTGTTCTAGGGTGTTTCCTGTACATGTATGTTCTAAGGTGTGCCTATGCAGGTTCTACATGTTCTAGAGCGTACCCATGTAGTTTCTACATGTTCTATTGTGCCCACGTCTACATGTTCTAGTGTACCCACGTCTACATGTTCTAGTGTACCCACGTCTACATGTTCTAGTGTACCCACGTCTACATGTTCTAGTGTACCCACGTCTACATGTTCTAGTGTACCCATGTCTACATGTTCTTGTGTACCCTTGTCTACATGTTCTAGTGTACCCATGTCTACATGTTCTAATATACCCATGTCTACATGTTCTAGTGTACCCATGTCTACATGTTCTAGTATATCTATGCATGTCTACATGTTCCAGTGTACCCATATTGAATAAGTCAATGGTCAAAAGTATGGTAAACAAATATATGTTGTTCGTCACATCAGTCAGGACAACACAAATACACAACACAAATAAGACAGTTTCTACAGCGCGCGAGGGAATCTATGAGTGGCCTTGAAGACCTTGAAGATCCGACTAAGAAAGGAAGGCTGTGTGTACCGTTCGGGCCACAGACACGTACCATTGGCGGACAGAGGAGTTATCCCCACCTGGTGCTGACCTCCTACAACAAGCCAGAATGTAAAGAAGTGTCAAAACTACACACAAAACACAGGCTGTGTTATAAGTTACGTATACGTACTAGAGTCATAGTTCAGATCTAGCGACGGAAATATCGTGCAGAATATTTGAAGGTGCAGCACGACAGTAGTTCACACTGCTTTACAATGTACCTATTATCTTTCCAAAACCCACTAGTGATTCACATTGCTTTTAATTTTAATCATACAAAATGTTCGCGTCTGCTTCGATGCTGATCTCATTACCTTATGACTTATTATATTAATATTCAAAGGCTGATTGAGAATGAAATTGCAGGGACGATGTACAGTCCAATACGCCACAAATCGGCTGCAATATCATTGGTCTTTTGAAACGTATTCTGACAAAGTGTGCGCCACGACCAAAGTTGGTACCATTTTGTATTTGGGTCTTTATGATCTGGTGTATTCTGTGGCTAGCTGGCTCCACTTTCAAACTGCTGAACCATATTTTCGCAGCTCGATCTGGATTATGTGTGTTAGTTGACAATCAAGAGTTAAGGCTTGTCGCACATCTTCATGTGTACGAAGAACTCGATTGAAATAGCAAAATAAAAGCTGGCCCGTTGGACTCAGTGATATTTCATATTTCTATCCTGTTGTTCGTACACATGTCGATGTGTACAGCAAGCTATCAACCAACATTTACAATGTTCTATACGTAACTTGGAAATCATTACATCAACCACTATCAACTGAAGTATTGATAGTGGTCGACGAAATGATTTCATTCAATGAAGACAAGAACATCAAACAACATGCACCAATACATCGGTGAAGGTGACAACCAGATAATAAGATGCGCCAAAAACAGTCACTCAAGCAACTGGATATGATTTTTCAAAACCATATCCAGTTGCCTACGTACCTGTTTTGGGCGTAACATGCACCAATCTAAGGTAAAAGGTACAAGTAAAGGAACATTTGAAGCAAGACGAGCGTCCGAAGACGCAGATCAAACGTGTAAGTTTCCACTCGAGTGGAATGTAGGTGTGTTCTGATACAAAACAACATGCACCGATCTAACATTTGTAGCAAGAAGAGGACACGCCATGTACACGAAAGTGGTCCGTTTCCGATGATTTCCACAAGTTTTCCACACTTGGAAATTCAGTGGAAACCTGCGGAAACTACTAGAGGGATTTCCTACGTCGTGTACACAGATTGCCACGAGGGAAATCTGGCTTTTCGTGCAGTAAAACATAGAACATGTAAACTCGTATAGAAGAGTAGAGTAGAATGTAGGAAACATAGAACATTTCCACTTGTATAGAAGAGTAGAAGGTAGGAAACATAGACCATTTCCACTCGTATTAAAGAGTAGAAAGTAGGTGTGTTATCTGATACCAGACCTGCGGAATGCTGCGCGCTCTGCAGCCCTTCCGTGCAGCCTTTGCCGGTGCCTGGGATCGGGTAGCGCCCGCACTGCAGCTCCCGCGGCCAGCGGATGTTCTCCCGCTGCAGAACGCCCCTGCAGCTATGCCGCGTCGCCTGGCACAGCGTCCTGCAGGGCGGCACGATCTCGCCAGTCGGCGTGCATGCGGGCACGAAGACGGAGCAGAAGAAGAGCCGCAGGTCCGGGGAGCAGTCGGACTCCACCAGGCGCTGCAGCTGGTGCTGCGCGATGAAGCGCACGGCGTCCTCCTGAGTCCGGTGCCCCAGCGCGTTCCCCGTGCCTTTAGGGTACATGGTCTGCTTGTAGGGCAGGTTTCTGCACATGGGGACTCGGATGTCCTCGCACTGAGGCGCTGCAGTAACACAGGGAGGCACAAGGGAGCGCCTACGTGTGGTTACATGCTACATTTACTGTGCATTTACATTTACATAGTGAGGTTACAAGCTCCACTGTGTAGGTACATCGTGTTAGAGTAATATCCAAGCAAATCTTTTTTGTGGCCGCATAAGACAGTATCAAATTGGCCAGACAGTATCCATTGGGCGTCGGTGGCTAATGGACACTCCGCTGGCCAGTGGATACTGCCCTGCCACCGTATGATCTGCTTGGAGATTAGTGTGAGTACATATAGTAATGCTACACTATACATTGTATATTGTATTCTTAATGGTGAGGTAAAGTTTATAGATGCAATATATTATACTGTGCATAAAGATAATTATAATGGTTACTGGTGCAATTTGGAAATATTTCATTTAACAGTGATTTCTATGTACACATCGCGTGTTTAAAAGTGTGCAAAGACATCGTGTTTTTGGTTTTAAAAATCTTACTACAAAGATGTTAACAATAGTAAAAAGTGAATTAAAATTAACACATTCATATATTTAAGTCCGTAAAGCATACAGACGTTAGGATAAGTGCACGTGTTTGGGGGAATAACAGTATTAACCACAAAAGTGGTGCAAAAGTGTCTTCGTGCCAGTTTGCATGTTACAAACGAATAAGTGGTACAGGTGGTGCCAAGTACACAATAACACAATACATGTCGCTTGACATTTTTGCAGCATTTTGCTTGATAACTGCAACGATGTTTGGCATTGCAAGACAATTTGGTCTCTCTACCCTAAGGCAAAGCGGCGGAAGCACGTTGGTTGGTTAGAGAATGGCACATGGTCGTGCGCGAAGCTGCCGCTAGAGGGCGATGCAGGCTTGGCAGAGAGTGTGGAAAGCAAGCAGGCAGCGGACTTTATACAGGCAGTGGCGAAAGTTGCAAAGGTCTGGATGTACAAGCGGTCAAAAGGATGCAATAATCACAGAACATGGTAGTAGAGCTTTAGCAGACATCAAATTCAGTCAATTCGTCTGACATTGCCAAACACTTAGCGCATGATATGCTGGAATTACTACAATGGCGGACACATGAAGACATTTGCAATTGATGTTTCTTGAAAGCCATGGCATGAGACAATTTGTTTCAGGACTTCTGTAATGGAAGCGTTGTGGATAACAGGGTCCATGTGTATGTAAACGAGAAATAAACCTTGGTGCTAATTAACTAAACAGTCTACAAGTGACAGAAAACTAGTTCCAGAAAATAGCCGCTATCCCGCCCCGCCACGCCACGCCAGGGAACAGGTGTCGATAGAACAGACCTTGGGGCGATTTACACCCCGTGGAAATACCAGCCACCGACCGGCACCGCTTGTTTTACTGCCCTTTTTACTTACTGAGGGTAGGGGAAACATGGGAATATCATGTAACTGTAACATGACAGGCTTTATCGTCGTCTGGAACGCTCTTGTTGCTGAACTACACCGCATGTCGAATTGTGAAATTTTATGATGATCACCAGGCTAATCTTTGTAGCCAACGACCTGCAGGTCTTTGCTCCAAGGTTGAACTGTCACACAGACCGTGTCGACATCTACAGGACGTTTTGTCTACTTATATCATGAAAACACAGTGACAATTCTTAATCTTACCATCCCGTTCACAAAGAAGACAGCATTCTGGCCATAGACAAACAAAGACGTAAACAAACAAACCGACAAACGAAAACAACCCACATTTTGGAACTATAACTACCTGTGACCTGTGAGGGGGCAGGACAACAGATGTGAAGTCTAAGGACTATCAGCGCATGGCGAACGCCCAAAACCATCAACAGGTGTTGGACCGTTTTCAACTTTTCCTTAATTCATTAGTAACATAACAGGAGATAATCTATCGAAGTAGCCTCGTAGGACAGATCCCTCACTTTTCTGCTGTCAGTGTCTTAAATATCTATTTGTAATCTTGATAATGTCTGGGTGCCAACAAGCCCACATGTGTTTGGAAAGGTCACACATCTGGTACTGCAGTACAATAGGAGGAAGCACAACTTACCAGGTCTAGACGGACTAATTAAGCAGCAAAACACCCAACAATACAGAGTTCGACGCTAGTGGTCTCTCGGAACTTGAACGGAAACCACTTGGGAGTTTAAGAGACATCCGAAAGGCCGGTAACCTTGGTCTATAACTTAAGTATTTTTTAGACAGACTAGACAGACCACAAGAATTTGAAGAAAGGCTTGTCCAAGGGGATCTGTAGTTTATTTGTACATGTGTGTCTCAATGGTTCCATCAAGAACATTTTTGATTCAGGATAATATCTTTATCTTCACCAATCAAATAAGTCACTATCAAACAGAATGATCGCTCCCTTTGTTTTAGCCTGGACCTCTCCAAAGTCTGCCTTGCCCCCCCGTCGGTCATGGGACTAGGTAACTACTAGATAGGTGGGTAGGTAGCTGATCACATTTTAGATACAATATTGCCGCCCAAAAATTGTATAGAATGCCTTTCAACATAGCTGCATACATCAGAAACCGGTCGTGTGACAGGCTGAATAAAAGTTCTAAACGGGAACTATGCGGCTCCAGATGTCTTACTGAGGGACGACTGCGTGTGCAAGATGTCGGTAGCTTGAGGAATGAATCCCCTCTACTATATACTGCATACATCAGCACTTCCGTAACTAGTACAGTCCCCGACCGGTCCCCGGCAGCAGGTGTGACAAGCCTCCAGATCAGCGGCCGGGGAGTGACGGATGTGATGGGTAATGGCTCACGACCCAGAGTACTGCCAGGGTTACAACTACCCGGCCTTATACAATACAAAGGCCGGCTCATCATCTGGCAGTTGTCCATGGGACTTGCCTGCACAGGGATTTTCTTTAGATAGAGGGGTTGTGGCAGGAACAGATTTTTCTTGGTGGCCTGAAGGGCAGCCAAGGGGCTTGCCCGTATCATATGTCCTGAGGCAAAGTCCTGAGGCAACTGGCATCGTGGACACGTACAGCATGTTGGGCAGTAACACTCTTGATGGCCTTGATGGCAGCAGTCCGCACTGGGGGCCAAAATGCTGCATGCCAAACTACAAAAGCAGTGCCTTCGACTGTTGTAAGGTATAAGTGCAAAGGAAACTTAGCCTCTGAGGAGAGACCTGTTTCTAGGTCTTGGAGCAGCCGGTGAGCTTGACAATGAATGTATCTTGGCCTCGACAATACTCGAAGATTCTGGTAGGACTCTAGACCAGCAGACTTCTGGGAAGTGAGAACATCAGGTTGCCCTGACTCTTGCCAGCCCTCCGGCAGGAACATCTGATCTTACTGCCACACTTGGTTAATGAAGAAGTGGAGCTGGCACCTCCTAAAAGACTCAGTAAGAGAAGAGATAAGAATCTGTTCATGACTTGGCGGCCCTAAAACCCTTGGCGTGTTGCAGGGAACATCATTCCTGCCATAACTGCCCTGACCTCCGGGCCTGTAGTTTTACAGATCTCGATGCTTCACAGCCATACTAACGGCTGCCAACAGTAGAGGGCACAAAACAAGCGAATACCATTAAGATCTCCGTTAGTCCTTCGTTACGAACATACACATACCTCATAAATCATACCCAAAGCTCATGTGTGAGATTGTACTTCCTTCTAAACGTGATGTTGTCACTAATAGTTCCATTTTTATGTCACTTTTCATCTACCGTACATACTAAGGTAAGATTGCAGTAACTTTAGACAGAATGATCTTCAGATGAACCTACTTTCTTCTGATTAGTTCACCACCCGGATTTTGGCTCTTGTACAGGTTGGCAAAGTTTTGTGTTTGTCAGGGCAGTTTTTACTCACTCACAGCTGTTTTGAGGTATGAATATTTCTCCGCGTTCCGATCGTGACAGAGAAAGCCGAGATCTGACGCTCAATTACCGCTAATCATTTGATTAACTCCGACTTGAGATGATTGTCGACACGGTTTCCGGATGACGATGAGGTTACGTAATTTCACCTGCAAGGGTTTGTCGTTTATCTAGCTAATCATTATGTCATGGGCGGTCTTATAAGCACGATTGTGGATACGATGTGCCTACCAAAATGTCTTTAGTATGACATCGATCATTGGGTAGAGAGCTAACACACGCAGTCGAGCACAGTGTGAAACAGTTCGAGTCATCAACTGCATACTAGTAGTAACTGCCTAATTCAACTGCAAAATTGGGGCGTGCTGTTTGAAACAGACGGTTTGAATTCGAAATATAAACTTAGATCTTTGGCCGATTCCCAGTCTGGCTTGATCTTCTGCCTTTGAACGATTGAACGATAGATGAGATACAGATCTGAACAGTCAGTTAAACACCAGATCCATGTACTTCATCAGGATTAGTTGTGGTAGATACTTTGATGGCATCATTAAGATGCCAGACATGTAGAGTTGGTAGGACACAACTGAATGACGTGGGTTAGGGCTGCATGCTCTGGGTCCAATATACCGAATCACTATGAACCGGTACTGTACCAATATAAATTTAGATTTACACTAAGGAAGGTGGTAAAAGCCATCTACAGGAAGGTGGTAAAGGCTAAAAATTACAACAGCTTTCTCTTTTCAGATGAGGAAAGTCAAGGATAAGTTCCAATTCTGATCTAGTAACATGCTTTTAAATGGTACCAGGCTTCCAATCTGCCCATCTTGTCTTACCATGTCCAAGAGCGAATGTTCATTCGGCAAAACGCCACGATAAAAAAAAGGCCATGGACTTCCTGCCGTTTGACTATCAGGGGTTCTTGATGGGCATCGTAACTACGTACGTGCCAAGACCTGGATCGGTTCTTTGGCAACAAGAACGGTTAGAAGATGAAGGTCCTCAACAAGTTACTCTTGGGACTACAAACCCGAGTCGGGGAAACTCAGGTCACCTGCGACGATATTACACTTGACCTGCTAAGATTATACATTCAAACACGTTGCAAAACTAAAATACACTGGCGTTCAAAAAGTTACAAACGTTGGGAGTTCTCATGAAACATTACT